AAGTCATACACAATGTGTCAGCTAAAATCTTCTATTGGGCAACATGTCATGGAGTGACACAATGGGGTGCTTGGCTAGCCAATGCTGCATGCTTCTGGGGTGTTCTGGAATGTTCTAGGGTGTTCTGGAGTGTTCTCCATGTGTCTAGAAGGGTCTAGATGTTGGTGGAACTCTCTAGAACCTTGTGGAACAATCTAGGTTTGTGTGGAACAACCTAGAGGGGTTGGGAGCAATCTAGACTTCCTCTAGAGTGTTCTTGTATCTTAGGGAGAAGGCATCCCCTAGAAGAATGTAGAAGGTAGAATGTTCTAGAGATACTTCTAGATGATGCTAAGTGTACATAGTTCTAGAAAAATCCTTTAAGGAGGTGGAGGTGCCAATAGAAGGGGGCCCCCTCCCCCATTTGCATCAAATAAGGAAGCAAAGAAGCAAGAAGCAAGCAAGCAATCAAGCATTGTATCCCTCTCTTGAGTAATACAAAGAGTTCTTTGAGTTCTCCATCTCTCTCTTTCCTTGTGTGCTTTGTGCTTTGCTGCCTAAGTGTGTGCCTCAGTGTGAGGGACGAGTTGGTAAGCTACTTGGTCCTAGGAGCCAGGAGAGTGCTCTAAGCAGGGAAGGCTGACTTGTGGAGCGACAGACTGCTGCCCAAGTGCCGCATGAGACGCTAGAAGAGACTAGGTTCGTGACAAGCAGCTTCAAATCATTCAACTGACTCTCTCTTTTTTGTAATTACTTCTTGTTAGAATAAACAAATCAAGGGTATTTTGGTCATTTGGGTTTATCTATTTGAGAGTGAAAGGTCTATTTTGTTTAAGTTTAAGTTATGTGTCCCATCACTTATGAGGGACAATATGGTCTTTCTTGTAACTATATTATTTGAGATAAATACAAGTGGGTCGGCTAGAGGTGGACTGATTTTCTCAGTCTGGCCGAACCCTTCTTCTCCTTCTTCTTCTTCTTCTCTTCTTCTTCTTTCTCTTCTTCTTCTCTACTTTAACCTAGAATCGTATAGGTATTTTACATGGTATCAGAGCCATAAAACCTAGTTCTCTTTTCTTTTTTTTTTTCTTTCCTTACTGTCTGTCTTCTTCCTGGATTCGCCGCCAACCATTTCAGCCTTCTTCGATTTTCTGCTAGCCTAAGTGGAAGCTCGACAAGGGGCCCAAAAGGAGTAGTCGTTTTGTGGTTTTGGAGGTGAGTATGCCTCCAGTTACTGTGGTGGTGGTCGCTGAGGTTGTGTACTAGATGCCCTCTATTCTGTGATACGAAGAGAGCTGTTTATGGACAGGTATGAACAGTTCTGTTTTTTGCCCAAATAGTGGACTGTAAGTGTTGTGTTTTGGTTCAAAATATTTTTTTTTTTTTGTTGAGGTTTGGAGTGACTAGTATGCACATCAGCCTTGTTCTCCTCTGTTTTTACCTCATATGTGTGCTGAAAGTAGGGTGTTTCGACTGCTGAAGTTCACGACAGCAGTGGTGTGGTGGTAGTTGTACTGTGTTGAATGGTGTGTGGATGATTCTGAATAGTTGAAAGTGAACCCTTGTATCTAGTGTGTAAATGGTTCTGCAGTGTGCAGTACAGGTGTTTGATTTAATGACAGAGTGAATTCAGCCCTTGTATTTGGTGTGTGAATGGTTCTGCAGTGTGCAGTACAGGTGTTTGATTTAATGACTAAGTGATTTTAGCTTTTGTATTTGATGTGCAATGTGTATTTGAAGAAGTTGGTGGTGCTGAAAGTGAGATAAGCTTTGTGGAAGTGCGTAAGTTGTGCTGAATATTTGAAGGTGAATTAGTTAAGATGGCATCGTTTGGAGATGGGAATGACAATAAAACAGGCGTCATGATTTCTCCAGATTACCTAAATGTTCAAATGACATCTATTAAGTTGAATGGTGAGAATTATGTGCCATGGGCAAAATCTGTTGAGGTGTTTTTAAAGGCCAAGAAAAAGGTAAAACATGTGAAAGAGGGGAAACCCTCCTCTGATTCTCGGGGGTTTAGTGACTGGCAACAGGAAGATGCACAAATAATGACATGGCTGTGGAATAGCATGGAACCAAAAATTAGTGTGAACTTTATGTTCCTAAATACAGCTAAAGAAATTTGGGATTATGCTAAGAAATTGTACTCCGGACAAGACAATACAACTAGTGGTGTATGTGGATGATATTGCCATAACTGGGAGTGACAGTAACGGGATTGACAGGTTGAAGAAATTCCTACAGGACCACTTCAATACGAAAGATTTGGGTAAGCTGAAGTACTTTCTGGGAATAGAAGTTGCTAGGTCAAGGCATGAAATTAACTTATGTCAAAGAAAATATGTTCTTGATCTACTTGAAGAAACATGACTGTTAGGTGCTAAACCAGCAGAGACTCCTATGGAACTTAATGTCAAGTTGAGTGTTGATGCAGGTGAAGAGTTTGATGATCCTGGAAGATACAGGAGGTTGGTGGGAAAGTTGAATTATCTGACTATTACCCGACTAGATATATCATTTGTTGTGAGTATGGTGAGTCAGTTTATGCAACATCCTCGGATTCCTCATTGGGAAGCAGTTCTAAAGATTGTTAGGTACCTGAAGGGTGCTCCAGGTCGTGGTTTGCTATACCGAAGTGAAGGGACTCTTGAAAGAGCAAGAAACAAACAGTTTAGGTACAATATCCTGTACCGAAGTGGAGGTACAGGATATTGTACCTTCCTTGGTGGCAATCTTGTAACTTGGAAGAGCAAGAAACAAACAGTGGTGGCAAGGAGTAGTGCAGAAGCTGAGTACAGAGCTATGGCTCATACCACATGTGAACTAGTATGGTTGAAGAACTTGCTACAAGAGATGGGGTTCTCGGTTGACAAACCTATGAGACTATACTGTGATAACCAAGTTGCTGTTCACATCTCTTCCAACCCAGTCTTCCATGAGAGAATCAAGCATATTGAGGTCGATAGTCACTTTGTGAGAGAGAAAGTGATAAGTGGAGTGATAACCACATCTCATGTGAGCTCAGGAAATCAGTGGGCAGATCTCTTTACAAAGGGATTGTCTCGAGGCAGAATAGATTATATTTGTGACAAGTTGGGACTATATGACATATACTCTCCAGCTTGAGGGGGAATGTTAGAATGCTCGAGTCAAGGGTATTTTGGTCATTTGGGTTTATCTATTTGAGAGTGAAATGTCTATTTTGTTTAAGTTCAAGTTATGTGTCCCATCACTTATGGTCTTTCTTGTAACTATATTATTTGAGATAAATACAAGTGGGTCGGCTAGAGGTGGACTGATTTTCTCAGTCTGGCCGAACCCTTCTTCTTCTTCTTCTTCTTCTTCTTCTTCTTCTTCTTCTTTTTTAACCTAGAATCGTATAGGTATTTTACACTTCTTATACTGATACTTTGCATGTTCTCTCTTCATGTATACCCAGTCTCTGTAATGGGTTTACCCCTTCAACTTTCTCTATCTTCGTGTTGTTCAATGGTTTCACTCTCCTTTCTAAAAAATCCCCTCTCTCATTCTAATGGTTCCTCTTATAGACCCAGCCACCTGTCCATGTGGCAGTGTTTTAAAACATGAGAAGTTAAAATAACCTCCTCATTTTCTTGTACATGGGACTAGGGGTAGTTATTTGACTTAAACAGCCTCCCAATAGGTGTCCCCACAAGGTATATGACACATAGCAAATGGGGGTTATTTCAAATTTTGAGAAGTTAAGCTTATGGAAATATTTTCAAAAATACATAGATAGAAATCCAAATGAATAGGACACTCTTAAAGGCTGTTAAACAACCATCAACCAATCATGTATCATAATAAATGCTTAAAGCAACTAACATGAATGTACCAAATCAAAGAAAGTTGATTGTTGATACGTGCTTCCTGATTGCCAAGAGAAATTATCTTTAGGGCAGTTTGATGAATTATTTGGGGTTAAATGTTGGGATATTTTTTTGTGAATTTTGGTTTCTGTAGGTTATCAAATTATAGATTTTTTCTGTTCCTTTGGGTTGGTTGGAGTGAGACCCCTTCACCAGTGTATTATGTAACATTTTCTTTTTTTTTAATGAAAATTTCTCATTATTATCAAAATAGCAGCAAGAATTATTCTCATTCTTTGGTTCTTTCTAATATATTGCTCATTCTTTGGTGGACAGCAAGCTATTTATTTGCTTCTCTATCTCTATTCTTCATCATTAATCACCCAAATCACCTTCTCTACCTCACAAAGCCCACCACCAAATCTGAAAGTTGTAGGACCCCCCATCTGTCCTACATCAAGGGGATATTTAGAATCTACTAAGATCTCATGACTTTATTCTCGAGGTCAATTGTACATTGGGATTTCATAAGAGCAGAACTATTGGCATTTCTGCAAGGATTAAGACCAGGGAACTCTATTAACCGTAGGAATGTTGTGGTGGAAAGAGATTCTATAGTAGTGATTAGTTGGTTTAGAGCAACAGTTTAGGACCTTGACAGTATCAAAATTTATTAAAAAGTGAGAAGAAAGGCAGAAATGACAGGGATCAAGTTTACTTGGGTATGAAGATCAGCACAAAGTCTAGCCACCACATTAGCTAGACAAGGAGTGTAAAGAGTCTTTTATACTGCATCCCTCTATAAAAATGTGGAATGTTAAAGAAATAGGGCTAGGTACAAGCTGTCAGCTGTCAGCCTCGGACTTGTTTGGGTGCTTGGAACAGCTCCTACTCTAGTATTCTTGTACACAATTCTTTTCTTAAAATAAATAAATTATGATTGTTGCCAATCAAAAATAAATAAAAAGAAAAGAAAAGCATAGGTGATTCTCTTGTTGTTGCTGCCCATCTTCTTGTGACCTCACAAGAGTTCCTTGGGAAAAACATGGTTCTTTTTTTTTTTTTTTGATAATGGCATGGCACTATATTCACCTTTCAATTAACTGTCCATCTATAGGCTTTTGTTCGTTAAACTAAAATTGTATTTCCATTTCAAAGTTCTATTGTGTGGGGTGAATTCCAGTTTACCTGCCCATTATCATGTTGACAACAAGTTTCATTTTTGCTCCATTTCCAACTTGCCCCAAAAAGAAAGATTTCTTCCCCATGACATTGAAAGCAGGGATTGCTTCATCATACAATTGCTGCATTTGCAAACAGGTCAGAAAAATATGTTAAATAACAGAAAGACGATCAGATGTTCATGTAGCCTATACCATTATTGAAATGACAATGATTAAGATCGAGAAAAAGTGAAGTACCTCAGATTACTGAAACAAAAGTGTAAGAAATGACATTACAGACTGAAAGAAAAAGGTTTAATATAAATCCATCTAGGATTACTTAAACGGATAATAATTAAACAGCCTTAAATTTTAAACTGAGCTTAATAAAAACCAATTACAGAATCTTAAGGAGTTTTATGACAATTCAAGCAAAGCATTGAAATTAATTTTGGATTTTCTAAAATTAGTAAAGCTTTGTATTTTTCAAATGCAGGTTCAGCATATGTGCCCATGTACAATTTAACCCATATACACCTAAGAAAATAGGTCTGGATCCAACATAGTATTCTATTTTACTCCCCACAAATCACCTTTTTCTAGACCCATGTATGAATGGTCTTAGTTGATGACCCAAGTTAGACTCTCAAATATTTATCACCCTTGCATTCCGACAGTCATATTTGAAAATTTTACATGTTATGCTGCATTTGCTGAGTCTAACTTGTTCTACAGAAATCCCTACAAAAAATGAGCATGTTGTTTTATACCAAATGTTAATTTCAATCTGCAAGGCAGCACTAAAAGCTAATAACCCAGAAGTTTCAACCCTGTGCATTTCTCTTTATACAGCTTATGGATCACCATAGCCTATCCTACATCAGATGTTAATTTCAGTCTGCAAGTTAGCATTAAAAGCACACTCTGTGCATTCTGCTTTTTCTTTTTTTTTTCTCTTTTTGATCAGTAACCTTGAAGAGATTTTGTATTAAATGATGACCACCCCTCATACCCTCAAGGAATAGAAGGGAAGACAAACAATCACTCCCATGCTGTCCAAAATAAATATCAAAGAGCCAATTGTGTCTTGGACCTACTTCATTATTCCTTTTGCTTGTTCTTCTCTTCTTGCACTGCTCTTCCTACAAGGTTCATATTTTGAAAACAGTGTAAAACTCTACAGCTTGAAGGAAAATCAGCCAAAAGAAACTTTCCTATGATTTTTTTGGTAAAACCTATGAATCTTCAAAACAATATTTTTTTAATACTTGAACCAAAATACTACAAAACAACATTATTTGAGCCAAAATGCTATTGGCATTTTGGCAAAACAAGGGGCTACAAGGGATAATTTGTTTTGGGGGTTACTAATCTAAAGGAGATTTCTGGCTTTGTAATGTTTGCTGTTTTTTCTATTATGGATAGCCGAGGATATCCACCCTCTGACTTTGACCTACACTTTTGCTTTGCATATTAATAAAAGTCTTCTGTCTGTTGCTGATAAAAAACAATGCTATTGGCATTACTACAAGTACAAGAACTGAGGCTGGAAAGAAGGGGACGGTAATGGTATATAAACCCGAACCTCACTTGTTTTGGTTGCTAAAGAATAACCAATCGAAAGAGCACCTGTGTTGGGCAGATCCCAATAAATTGGTGTCAGAGCAATGTCAATCCAATGCCAAGTACTAAGGTAATGTCGATTGATGAGAGAGTTGATTGGATTGAAGTGGATCTACATAAGGTGAAAGCCATGTAACCTGTTTCACCAGTGTAGACTACCCACTCACAAATCACCACTACGGCACCTCAGTGGTGCCTCACCACCACCGCACCACTCCATAGTGCTGCCTCACCAGTGTAAACTATGTCCACCAATCCAATTTTTATACCTATGGCCCTTACCCATATCATCCAGATCTTGTAGTCTCCTTGATGAGCAAGAGTAGCAGCATGACAGAAAGTAAGAAATGAGAATAAAAGGTTTAATAATTTAACAAAACAAAGTAATAGAAGACCAAATCAAAATGTTTTCAAACAAGTCCAAAGCACTGTGAATTCTAGTTTGAACTTATATTGGTGTTCACCATTACTGACCACCACCGTCCACCTCCTTACTGAGACTCCAGGTCGGGCTCGAACCGAAGTTGTAGGCCCGACGGTCAGGCCAGGCTCGGCCTCGGGCTTGAGCAAATTCTGTTAATGAAGAGTGAAAGTCCAGCCCGAGCCTGACTCGTGAACAGGTTGATGGTGATACAACCCACTTCTTTCAAGGTGCATGTTGAGGATGGAAACCCGCTGGCTTGTGATGTCCTATGTAGGGACGTACAACTCAAGATACAGGGTTATGCCTTCCTAGTGGACCTTTACCCCCCCCCCCCGAGTTCTGTGGGGTCAATGTCGTTTTAGGAGTGCAGTGGTTTGGTTGAAGTTGTTGATGCCGGTGGTGTGCAACTGGAACATAATGACCATGGACTTCACGATGGAAGGGATTTCTTTCCATTTGACTGGCCATGCTCCTACTGAAAGTAGGCCTTCAAGTTTTCACTCTCTTATTAAGTGCTGCCAGCTACCAGACCAGCCCATCTTGATGTGATAGGGCCTGTAAACATCTGAACCACACCTCTCTGTTGATTATGGAATGAAATCTTCTGAGGAAGCCCAGCAAGCACTCCAGCAATTATTGAAGCAATAGGACAAGGTCTTTAAAGAGCCTAGTGGCTTGCCACCAGCCCAATCCCATGACCATCAGATACCAATCATGCCAGGTGTTGAACCAGCCTATGTGAGGCCTTACAAGTATCTACTGTTCAAAAACTTAAAAATTTAAAAAGATAGTGAAGGAGTTATTAGGAAAAGGGTTTATACAACCCAGTTCAAGCCCTTATTCCTCCAGGTTTTCTTAGTAAAAAGGACGAGACTTGGAGATTTTTTGTAGATTATAGGTCATCATCAAACCACATATTGTGAAGGACCGTTTCCGAGTTCCCATCATTAATGAACTCTTGGATGAGTTAAGGGAGGCTACAGTCTTCTCTAAGCTTGACTTGAGGGCGGATCACCATCATATACAGGTCCATCCAAATGATGTCCCAAAGACTGCTTTTCAGACCCATAATGGACAATGAATTCCTTTGTCATGCCATTTGGGCTAACAAATGCCCCATCAACTTTCCAAGCCCTAATTACCTCCAGAAGTTTACACTTGTATTTTTTTATGATATATCAGTCTATAGTAGTTGTTGGACTGACCATTTGCAGCACCTGGCCCTTATGTTGGAGGTTCTACAAAAGTATGAACCGCATGCAAAAGCTTCTTAAGTGTACTTTCAGCAAAGCCCAGGTCCACTACTTGATCCATATAGTCTTTGGGGGACTTGAAGTTACTGCTGTTAGCAGAACTTCTGGGTACAAAAGAAAACAGAAATCAATAGGAAGAAGAAGAGAGAAGAAGAGAAGAGAAAAGGAGGTAATTAAGAGAAAAGAGAATAGAGGAAGAGCAAGAGAGGAATGGGCGAAAATCACTAAATGCTACCTAACATTAGGTGAAAAGGACAAAAATGCCCTGCTACCTATAACAGTACAAGAAAGCAAGCATAAAGACAAAAAAAAGAAATAAAAAGACTGAACTTATGGGACCACACATAAAGAATATCAGGTCTGGTCCACTGTATCACTACAGGGGGAAAGGCCATGGTAGATCTGGACAAGACCTCTTGCGTGCAAGATTGGCCACAACCTCAATCCATGAGAAGTTTGAAGGATTTCTTAGGTTTGACAGGTTACAACAGGAAATTCATAAAGGGGTATAGTGAAATTGCTACTCCATTGACACAAGTCTTGAGAAAAGACTCATTCAAATGGAATGAACAGGCCCAACAGACCTTTGAAAGACTGAAAAGTGGTATCCACTCCTCCAACATTGGCATTATCAGACTTTACCAAGATGTTCATAGTTGAATGTGGTGCTTCAGGCATAGGTATTGGGGATGTGTTAATGCAGGACAGGCAGCCTTTGGCCTATTTTAGCAAGAGCCTCTCAACCCAGGCCCAATCAAAATCGGTGTATAAGAAAGAACTTACGGCAATAGTCCTCGCTGTCCAAAAGTGGAGAGTCAATCACCTAGGTCAGCAATTCATAATAACAACTGACCAACAAAGTTTGAAGCACCTCCTGGAACAAAGAATTCATATACTAGAGCAGCAGCATTGGGTTGCTAAACTACTGGGTTATGATTACATCATAGAATACAACCCTGGCCCAGTAAATATGGTTGTTGATGCATTGTCACACAAGACAAAGTTGGCCCTCTGGGTGATCCTTCAGCCTAGCTATCCCCTACTGGATCAAATTAAGGCCAAAGACCAGGCAGATCCAGATATGCCCCAAATTAGAGCATGTTGGCAGGATGACATTCCTCCACTCCAGGGTATACAGTCCAAGATCGCACCTTATTTCACAATGGATGACTAGTAGTAGCTGCTACTTGTATCCACTTGTTTGACCTACCAACAGAAAAAATATGAGGCCCAAGCCCTGACAGGTCTCCTACAGTCTCTTCCAATACCTAAACAGGTATTGGATGAAGTCGCCATGGACTTCATCACCAGTCTTCCTCCTTCAAATGGTAAATCCATAATGATGGTTGTGGTTGACAGGATAACAAAGTATGGCCATTTCTCACCCTTCCACTTTTTGAAAGGTAACAGAAAAAGATTCATTAAAAATAAAAAGGAGAGTACATAAAAAAGATGATAAGAAATCACCCGAGAGAATAAAGACAACACCTAAACCACTACAACAGAACACAAATACAAAAACTAACCAAAGACAAAAGCCAGACTCATCTTGAGCCAAGACACCACCCCTTAAAACCCCCCAACCTGAAAACAACCACAGACCTCCAACTCCTCTGAACCAAAGAACCAAATTACATCAACCGCCTCTAATCCTACCCCTCAAACACCTCCTCCTGCCCATCATCATCTTCATTCCAGATTTACCCTACTTCCCCCACTACATATTTCCTTCTTACTCCTTTCAAACTCCTCAAATGCTTTTCTAGCAAAATCCTCGCCACCCCAAAAAAACAATCCAAGGCTTTTACCCACCTGAACGTCTCTTTCAACAATTTTCTCAA